AAGCACATTTATACGTACATACATACATACATCATACATACATACCGATATACATATATACATACATACATACATACATACATACATACATCATACATACATACATCATACATACATCATACATACATACATACATATATCCATACAAATATTACACATACATACACACATATATATATATATATATATACTACCCACACAGACACACACATGCACACACACGCAATGAATTTTGTAATATATATATATATATATATATATACATTTCTATACATAATAGATACATACATTAAGCTTATATATATATATATATATATATATATATATATATATATATATAACTACAATATATACATATATATACATATATATATATATATATATATATATACATATAGATGTGCTAAATATATGTATATATATATATATACATATATATATATATCGATATATATATATATAGATATATATATATATATATAGATATATATATATATATATATACGTACATACATACATACATACATACATATATATTTATATATATATATATATATGTAATGTATATATATACGTACATACATACATACATATATATATACATACATACGTACATACATTCCCACATATATTACACATACCCACACACACACATGTATATATATATATATATATTTGTTCATATGTATACATGAATAAAACAAATATTGTGATAGCGAATATAAGCACACTAAACGTGTATGTAAGCAGGCCGTTGCAATTGTTACAATTGTGTAGCAATAAAGCGTGCGGACGACTATCCAGATACATAAAAGGAACGTTTGGATTTAGACAAGAACAAAGCAGCTACTAAGGAATACATTAAAAAAACACATACTCCTCGTCGCTTTCGTCGTCGAAAATTCACGCTTTATATAGACTGATAAATCTTTCATTACACAATGGTGAGCTCACTAGTCTATGAATATGTGAACAAGCTCCTTAGACCAACTTATAAGTGAGCACCCCCAAGCTCATAATTGCCGCCATAGAATAACGTCAATGCCGAGACAATCGTTCACTGACATGTAACCATTTTGATCAGGACAAAATGTTGCGTCCAATATAATTTGTGTTATATGTGGTATGAATTTGAATATATACCTCGTGGGTGCAGGGGCATAACCGCCTTGGGGAGGGTAAGGCCCCTGATGTTGTGGTGGAGGTGGCCCTCCTGCTGTAGGATAGGGGGGGTTCTGCTGACCCTGCTGAAAATACGGGGGGGTTGGCTGCTGATTGGGATTAGGTGCGTACGACATGGTTGCAAATAAATTGATTGCAGTTAAGTTGAGGTTTCTTCGACGTGGAGTGTAAATAGATTCTCAGACAGATTCGATCAGATTATATCACCAATTCATATTTAAACATGTATTTATATTATGTAGACATATGTGTATATATTTATGTTTTTTGGTAAAGTTGTCTGTTCTTGTATCATAATGTGTGTTAATATTTTTTTAATCATTTTTTTAGTCATAGCCTTCAAACCGTTCTCTGTACGGATTTTTGTTTTGAAATAAAAAAGAATACAGCTGCTTGTTGTGAGTTGTAACTTGTATTTAGTTGAGTACATATTTGTTTTTTTTAAGTAAATACATGAAGATGAATAAATAGTCAATAAAAACCAAAAAATACAGCCGCGTGACTGTGAGGATGAGGAGTGGAGCCGTCTTATTTTTTTATTGATTTTTAGTATTTTTTTATTAAAATATTTCAGAGAGGGTGAGAGTGAGATCGTGGGCGAAGAGTCGACTGGAAAGTGGAAAGTGGAGAGTGGAGACTTCGCAACTATGCGATTGGATAAACATTCACATTGATTGGCTTTAAAATTAGAATAGTTATGTTTATCGAATTGCTCATTTTGATTGGTTCGTTAACGTGACGTCAAATTTTGTGCTACAGTACATACTATAACTTTGTTTGTTTGAAGTTTGAACATTGAAGTTTGAAACTTTGAAGTTTGAACACGAACTTAAAACAATAAATAAACTCTGTTAGTGGTTCTAAAACCTAGTTGGACTTTGAGTCCTAAAACAATGAAATATAGCCAACTGATGAAGAAACTGGCTAAGTAAATATGCAAACCCAAAATGATATAAATTTATTATTTGTAAAAAAAAATAGATTTATGTTTTTGTTTTAAATAGGACATATAAAATATGAACTAATTGTTCTATTTGAAGGCTATGAACTATTGAACTAATATAGAAAAAAAAATAAAAATGGAAATATATGGGGGTTTATTTATGCCTTTTGTTTTTTAATGTGAAATTAAAAAAATATGTATCATAGGAATAAAAAAGGAAATGTACTGTACAATAATAGCGTCTCCGCTAATGCTGGTGTCACGTCGTGATACCTGTATTGGGCCCTTCTATATTGAGGTACTGGGTCTCAAATGGGCGAAAAAGCTTCATTTAATTGTATATTTGGGTTTTAAAAATAAACATTTCAGAGACTTAAAATGGCCATGCTTATAGTGATAAAAATGCGAGATTATGATAATAACTACTCTAGCTCCGAATCTGCATTAGTAGTAGAGTAAAGGCGTCCACGGTCCAGTTTCCAGAGATGAGATCGATGTCAACGCACTTTCAGTATTCAGTATTCAACTATTCACTCTCTCTTCTCTCTCTCGCTTGTTGTGTGTTGGACTGTTGGCACTGTTGGGCACAGTGCTGAGTGCAGTTCCCTACTGCAGAATATTTTTTTATGAATCATCAGGCAGACTTTGGAATTGTGGACTCCTACCGAAGTTCAGTCTCTCACTCACACTCTCTCTCTTGAGTCTCTTCTGCTGGGCTGGTATAAGGCACACTTTTCGTTATGAAGACATGTCGCGACAGCCTGCTACTACTTTGTTAAGAAGACATGTCCGAGACATGGCGTCTTTAATAGGTGTCTTTTGAAAACTGGTCAAAAAAAATCATTGTCCAATAGAATAGCCGTATTTAAAATTGACTAATAAATGAGGCATATTTTCAACAAAAAAGACATCCTAGAAAAAATCAACGAAATGCACCTCTGATATTATCATAATTCGTGAACAGGACAAATTTCTATTTTTGTTTAGGGTTTAGTTTTTTTATGATCACTTCAGTGATCGAGGTATGTGTTTAGGTTTTAGCAAACTTGTGCGATGAGTGCTAAGTGATCATAGCATAGTGCCTACACTCAAGAATATACATATTTGTGTTTTGGGAACAAACTAACTATGAAACTAATCAGTATCACTAATATTTACAAACAATATTTTGACGTTTGCTTATATATATATATATATATATATATATATATATATTATATATATATATATATATATATATATGTGTGTGTGTGTGTGTGTGTGTGTGTGTGTGTGTGTGTGTGTGTGTATATGTATATATGTATGTATGTATATATTTATATTCGTATATAATAATTTGGCAGACTTTTAAAAAATAGACTGCCAACACTCAACACTCAACCGACACAAGTTCCAACCGACAGAAACCCCGCCGAAAACTGATCTGTACTCGCCAGAAACTCAAACTGAAAACGAAAAACAAAAACTAAAATATGTATAAAAAATAACTGGGGTCATACACAGGTTCAAAATACCCTGGTCCTTCTGTCTTGGAATACTGCACCTGTATACGGGTCATATAGGACTGGTTGGCGTCTTTTACTTGCCGACAGTAGACGACGCGGTCTTTTGTCTAGATATTTGATGAAGAAGACATGTCGCGACATGCCTGAAACTTGTTAGTTAAGAAGACTTGCCTTTGTCGTTTACCAGCCCAGCTCTTTTGACTTCTCCCTCTCTCTCTCTCTCCCGCGTCGGACTTTGAGTAGAGAGAGAGAGAGAGAGAGAGAGAGAGTACAAGAGTAGTCGTCTTTTCACTTTAAAAAAAATCCAAAGTTCTTGTTGTGTGTGAAAAAGTTGTTCTTTTATTTATTTTTTTTAAAATCATTTCGACCACCATGGCGGCATAGCCTATGTACCGAAGTAAATAAATTTTTACTGACTGTCCGAGCAGACGACCGAGCTCCGATCGTTTCTGGGGCTATTGTTTCAGGAGGCTATTTTGTCTTTGTTTTTATATTTTTAATTTGGTTTTTGGGGTTTTGTTTTAAAAAAGAAAAGAAAAGAAACAACAACACCACATTTTTTATATATATAGAACCAATACATATGTACATACTCGGTACTGAGGGCAGAGCTCTAACTACGCGAGGGTGCTTGGTTTCACGACGTCAGTAGTTGCAGCTTGCCCATTGTCAGCGTGTTGCAATGTAGAATCGCCAAAATATTTTGCTGGTTTTTCGTTATGCGGTAAGGAGTGTGAAGAAATCGAGGACGAGAAAATAGCTAATCGTGTACAACAGATAAAATCAGAAGAAGTTTCTGGTAGTGTATATATGTGCAGTGCGAGCCCGATATGGTTCTCAATCTGAATGGCGGTGCATTCAATTTGTACGGTGACGGTTGTCGACAGGGAGCGGTGTGTGATTACACATTCGGTAATTTCTGCAGACCAATCGGGATATATAATGCTATTGTTGACTATAACACAATTATTGTGCCAGTCTGTCCTACATTTGCGTGCTGCAACCCTGAGAACAGTACATTGAATTTCGACTTCACACTTTGTGATTTTGATTGCGAGAGTGATGATGATACGGAGGACGATCCAACACATTGCCTTGTAGTTGGCGTTGTACACGTCAAAAAAGGTATGTTTGCAGTGCGAAGCCGGTATGGTAAGGTATCGTCCGGCCGCCCTGTACCAGTTAAGTGGGAGGTTGCGAATAAGCTGCTGGCTATAGTAGCGTAGACAAAAACTGTACTTCCTCCGACTTACTGCCGAACCTCATTTCTAGCTCTCCGATCGTTGCCACTTGCCATATCGAGGAATGTTGTCACCAACCAACTGCCGTCTTTATTGATGGATTTACGACATGCTCCGGTCAGTGCTCTACTGATGATCCGTTGATAGGTATGACCTCAACTCTTTTCCCCATATGAATACCCTTCTACTTCCATATATATATATGATATCACCTGAGATACTATCCAGATATATTCAAGCGTACATAGTCCTATAATGGTACACTGTGTATTTAAGACCAGAAAAGCGTGTGAATATATACAGTTCCAGCTTTTGTACATGTATATATATATATATATATATATATATATATATATAACAGGCACACACGCGCACGTACACGTGTACACGCACACACACATACACACAAAAGCAAAAATCCCCGTCCTCCCTCCCACACACATATATATATATATATAAATATATGTGTGTGCTATATATATATATATCAATATAGTTTTGCAGTGATGAAGTGAGGCAACTGAATATTATTATTATATTTTGGCTCTCGCCTTGCGGGACCAACACGCACACACACATACATGCATACACGCGCATACACGCGCATACACACACACACACACAAACACACACACACACACATACATGCATACACGCGCATACACACACACACACATAAACACACACACACACACAATCACACACACATATGTATGCACACAAATATATTTATATATTTATATTTATATTTATATTTATATTTATATATTTATATATATATATATATATATATAGTATGTATTATTTATATATATATATATATATATATATATATATACTACACACGTATAATATATATATATATACTATCTATATATATATACATATATATATACATATATCTATATCTATATCTATATATAAATTTATATATATATATATCTATTTCTATATTTGTATTTATTTATGCATATATATATATACAAATATATATAAATATATATATATACTAATTTATTTATATTGATATATATATATATATACTAATTTATTTATATTGATATATATATAGATATAAATTTATATTTGTATATTTATATATATATATTAGTATATACATATATGTATATGTATATATATATATATATATTGATATATTAAAGAACATAACGTAGTAGACACAGGGTGAAACTAGAACCACAATAGAAACATGTTACACTAAGTCATAGTACAGGTTCATGAAGACACAGATACTTTACAGCAGGCACGCACGAGTACAGGTAAGAAACAAAGACGCTTACTTCCACGTGAGTTACTCAACATAATGCACGGAGTAGATGAAATGACTAGGGATACGATACACAATACAGCTAATTAGATCTACATTAGGGATGAGAACATGACGTCAAGGCATGGGCGTATGTCCATGGAAACAAACAGAGAATACAACAGATGCACGAGTACAGGTGTGTGATGGGAACGCATATTTTCCCCGGACCAGAATGGTTCTACGGACACAGAGTCAGCCAGTACTATGGACAATTCAGTTAGTGATAAGGTAACATATCACAATGGATAAGGTATAGAGGCGACAAACACATCCTTCACATGCAGAACAGAAAATAAAGATGCTGGTAGGGGGAGCATACGAAAAGCTAGTTGTTAAAGACACGGAAGAAGAGTACAGGTAATGTTAGGTAATCATTTAACAGCCACCGGGTGTGGTGCATGTAACAACGAACTAAGGACAAGTATATGGGAAAGAATATGGTGTGATGGCACGATTGAGTACGTGTGCGAACGTGCTAGGGTCGAAATGACGTTGACCGCGGAGATGCAGCGGCGCTCCTCAGTGAAGGTGGCGCAAAGGAGATGTAGTAATTGCAAGTGGCGTGTCAGCAGCGAGAGCCAACGATGTAACGGCACACGGGTAGAGACCCATCGATGGAGTACGGAGTAAGGGAGTCGTGTTTTAAATTCTGGATGCAGCGAGTAATGGCACAAGAGTAAAGAGGGTAATTGACCAAGAATTTCATCGAGTTCAAGATGACGGACGACATGGTTATGATACTCGCTCATGGTCAGGGCAACTACCAAAGCTTTGAAGCAGTTGCTGGGTCCATATTAATCACACAGCCGAGAAAACCAGAGTTATCACGGACACGATAAGGACGGCACCAAGTAGTGCATCGAGCCACCGAACCAACGCTGGATGAATCGCTCGTGAGAGAAGATGGCTCCATATTTCATCAGCTTTCCATTCTCCCGATTATTTTTTTGGCACGCTACTCCTCAGTTTACACGAGCGTTCTAGACATATTAAACAAGGAATGTGTTGAAAGTACTTCTAAAACAGCTTATATACATATTTTGTGTATATACAGGACACTAACAAAATTACTTAAATACATATAACCACAACTTTCGTGCGAGTGTATGTAAATTTTTTTTGACGGCTTCAATGCGTTTCTACTAGATGTTAGCTGTGCTGGAAGTGCATAGCTAAGACGCAATATTTTCTAGGTCATCGTAATCATGCCAATATGGAATGTAGGACAGGTCGACAAGCTTATATTTATGAATTAACTGACGAGAAGTCAGCTAATTGGTGGGCGATTTGGGTGGTGACATGTTGTATTTTTTTCCGGAAACAACATTGTCGAGGTGTCTTTTTTATTTATTGTCTAGATCACTGTCTAGTACAATACAGCTTAAATCCTTAATAATCAGATTCAATTGTGACTAGGTATGCGCCCGCGAGAAAAATCAATATCCGATTGAAGCTAGTTCATCATCTGAAATCATACCAAATCAGATTAGATGGTGAACCCGTATCGTAGAGTTAACCCTGACAGCTGTTCTCGCCCATGCAACAATCAGTGATCAGCATTGACTTGTCGTAGTTCAGCATGATGCACTTCTGAATATCACCTCCGTCCGGGGTGAAAAGAGTTTTGTAAGGGTCTCGGTTGGTGGTGGCACTATACGAGTCGGCCTGGTCTATGCACTCTGCGTCCACATAGAATTCGAAGTACCCGGTATGTTCCGTAGCCACAATGATTTCAGTCCATAGATTCACACCCGGAAGCTCCACACATCCACCGTTCACGGAAACGGCTATCACTGAAATGGCGGGATTGAGCGGCGCGGCAGTACAATCATCGCTAGTTGCATAAAACTCCATATTAACATAAGCGCAAAAGGACGGGGTACTCAGGATCTCGACCTCTACCGTGACAGAGTGGAAAGCAACAATGAGATTGCTTGCGGCGTCGAATGAGAGAGATGCTGTGGTTGTGTCTCCATAAGAATGCACAGATTCAAACGTATACGTTCCAACCCTCTCCGCACGATTGTAGCCATCGAGCAACCGTTCGCCCACCATCAGACTTGCGTCGCCCACCCAATGAGCGACCAAGAAATAGACCCGTGCGTCAGTGATAGGTTGAATGTCCAAAATGGTGTAGAAAAAATCACCGAAATCCGTCCATATAGTAGTCCAGACTGGATTATCACCGCTAGGAGCCGCATATAAAATTTGGTGCACTGCTTCGTGTCCTTGATAGTAGAAACCATGCACGCTCAGCAATACGAAGATGCGACACAAGTTGTCGATGGAAAAAAAATCGCTACTCCAGCGAGAGTCTCTATGACTGTCACGTCGTTTGACCTTTTGGGCAATACAATCTTAGTGATGGAATCTTCTGGAAGTATACCCTCGACCGTCACAAGCACATGCAGCTGGCAGGTGCAATCGAAAGCTGTTTGTATGCTATAGTCGACGACACTGTCGAATTCCCAACTTAAATTGCTGCGACTGCATGTATTGGAGCGAGACCTGTCGATGGTGGATGCTATCCAATGGGTATCGTTCTCATCGATACAAGCGGAGAAGTCGCGATTGTCGAATACATTAACTGTTTGGCTACTCAATTCTTGCCATGTACTATCGCCATCGATTCTATTCACTGCGGTTCTTGTACCTAGGAAGTTGGCATATGTATAATCAGCGTAGAAAAGCATACGCCCATACAAATACAACACGTTACCAGGTCGAGCGATGAAAATGTATTTCTCCGCCGAAAATAGGTTTGTGAAGCCTGCATTACCAAGTAATTGCCACGAATTTGCGCGATGCACGTAGGCGAACGTTCTGTCACCTTGGCTATTATCATTGACGACTGCTACCAGTTCTCCGGCAGAATTGAGCACTTGCGCAGCACCGCTTCGGGGCAATGTCGAGTTTGGCAAGGGTCCTAAATGGTGCCAGTCATTGACGGTCATCAACTCATGTACTGCCTTATCTCGGAAGTGGCACTCAGCGACATCGTCGCATTCCTTGAAGAGAGCACTTATACTGAATGTGTTGTCAAGAACAGGCGTATCAGCTCGATCATCACCTACCGTGATATAGAAGTCGGGCATCTTATTGGGTGTGTCGATTACTTCCGCGGCACTATTCTCCGGGATTGGCACACAATCCAGCCATCTCTGAGTGGGAGCACCATAGTCGTCGTCGGATGCTTCACACTCTGTAACTGTGGTGTCAGTCCACATGGTTAGCACATCCAGTGTCTCTGATCTAGCGAGACATAAGCCTAGATGGGCATATGCATATTCACATTCCCAGTTTCCTCTGTCAGAGGCTAGGGCGTCTGTATCGATCATGGTACTACGACCACTACAACTGACGACGTGGATGTTGCACAGCTTATCGTATATTAGCACAAACGTATCATCGGTATGGACTCCAAAAGCACTTCTTGTAGTGAAATCTGCCGTGCCGACGGTTAATTTTTCGGCGGAATTCGCACTGCAATTGTGCACTTCGTCTGTCCATTCGCACAGATCACCAAGCCTGATATTCAGAATGGAGACGTCACAAGTATCCAGTCTTCAAGGAAGAAAACATAGTGCCCGGCATACTCGGGCTGCCACTTTAATCCACCCGCAATGGGGTTGCAGGCGAAGGATTCGGAATAGCTGTAATAAACGACTCCAACGGTGGTGGGCGTGCATGTGGTCTCGTCAGTCAGCTGAGGAAGCACGTTATCGGTGAAGGTGGTGCAATTGTGAATCTCAATGGTAAATGCATCGGAGGCTTGCTGACCATTGCTGATATATACGGTCACATCAATAGCCGAAGGATTCGCTTCGCCCGTGACCACACCCACAGGTTGAATTTCGTCATAGCTTGAGGAATCTGGGAGCAAGCAAGTGACTCTGCACGCATCGCATGCAACTACTCGTGGAGAGGCCCAGAGGCGCATCGAAATTGCAATAGTGATAGTCTAATGACAGGGCCATGAATACCTTGCGTGTGTCCTCTACTTCACATTCGAGGTTTTAGGCACAGACTTTGTCCGTGAAACTCCAACTATCATAAGCCACACATACGGGCACCCAGACACCGTCCAACTTGATATCTACATAGTCCACTGTGGCAGCTGAATTGTCATCACTAAGGCGCACTTTGATATCCTGCTGCGCCTTAAAGTCAATAATATGGTCAGAGGATGGGAAGTTGAAGTATTCTGGAACACTGCAGTCTTCTGTGGTACCCGATACACCTGAGTAGGTCAAATTCCTGATCTCAACACGGTATCGTCCTGTACTCGGGGGAGTATATCTGAGCCGGTATGGGTGATTTGCGAGTGCACTGGTGTAGCTGTAGGTGGCTCTGACTGAAGTCGTGTCGTACTGGCGTTCGACCATCTCTCTGAGAGAGAATGAGCTGGTTTTGTCACTATCTACAACATCCATAATCTTATCCGGGGACACTGTGTCTGGTAAGATGTACTTGAAGAGGTGGACTCGTACTGGACAGCACGGTA